CAGGACGTTTTCTTTTAGTATTAACGTAGAGGTCGTGCTACTAAGAATGATTAATCGAGTGTTGTGTTACATAGCTGGTTTTCTAATTGATAAAACGATATATATAGACACGTTAGGCTGGGTTAGATTAGGTATGCTAGATTTTCAAACCCAATTGCTCAACGTCATATGTCTAAAGTCAGAAAACCTCCATGTGGTGGAGGGTGTGCTGGGATTTTTCTTAAATATAATTGCAGATACGAAATTGTCCACGCAACATTGAATAACTTTGGAAATGGACAGACAAATGTCATCATCTTCCACCGACATCTTTTAGAGTCAGGTTCGACAGAGAATTCGAACGTCAGGATAGTTCAATTAAACTTGAACAGATATCGGGCCAGCAGGCGGGCATGAAGAATTAGACCTCCTTTACCCGTAGTCATTCAGTGATCGCTTAACCGTCCTACAGCCAGGACGCTTCGCCTCCAGTTCGCGCGTCTCCTTCACACTACCCGGAGTTCTTAGAAAAGAAACGGTTGATGAAGATTAAGCCACCCAAAAGGTGGCACGGGCACGAATAGCCCTTAAGTGGTGGCCCTTTTGAGCCATTCCCAGTATCAATAGATGATACTGGAGATAGATGATCAGTAGATGATACTGGAGATAGATGATCAGTAGATGATCCTGGAGATCTGTGGAGGTGCGGCTGCACCCTGCGTGACGGGAGATGTCTCCCGTGAAAAAGAAACGGCTCGTGGCGAAGCAGCACGATAAAAGTGCACTTACTCAAACAACAGTGATTGCTCGGGGTAAGTGCGCTACATATATTCGAACGTTGATACTTCCTGGTCGCGTGTAAATAGAAAGTAAAAATATATATATATTTGGACGTGTATTAAACACGCAAGCGTTGTGTCTCCATGTATTTGGAATCTGAAAAATATATACTTCGGTGAAGTTTATTAAGAGGTGTTTTGTCGATTTTCCATTTTGTTTTCTACCTGATTTTTTTTATAACATTCATTCCATTTGTGGTAAGATATTTTTATGACCAAATGCAAGAAGGGGGGAGGGGGGAGGACACGGAAAAGCAGGAAATGTAGGTTAGTTGGTGGCTGAGTGAGAAGATTTGAAAGAGAAAGATTTCAGGGGATATAATTCTAACACAATTTGGAGGCACACCAGCAGGGTAACATTGGCGGCATATGGAAAGCTGACAAACATTAGAACAGTCATTTAAAGATACAAATAAGGCAATCTACTCTGTCTGTTAGACCGATACTGGAATATCCAACACCAGCCTGGAATCTGTACCTTGCGAATTATAAAACAGAAATGGGAAAAGTCCAGAGGTTTGCAATAAGATTAGTTCCCCCTCTCTCTCCCTTCCTACATTATCCGGTCTCCCTCCCTACCCCGTCTGATATCCTACTTCCTCTCTACCCCCTCTGATATCCTACTTCCTCTCTACCCCCTCTGATATCCTACTTCCTCTTTACCCCCTCTGATATCCTACTTCCTCCCTCCCCGACGTTCACTATCCTGTCTTCCTTCCCCCATGTCGACCCTCTACGGAAGAGTTCAAAGTGTGATGACACTGTAGGGGCTTCTGCAAACGGCCCTCCCCCCCCACACACACACACGGTAGGCCTAGAGCCAAGTAGGGTCAGGAATCTGTATACTAGTTGATTGACAGTTGAGAGGAGGTATCAAAGAGCCAGAGCTCAACCCCCGCAAGCACAACTAGGTGAGTACGTACACTCACACACACACACACACACACACACACACACACACACACACACACACACACACACACACACACACACACACACACACACACACACACACACAGTGGTTGACAAATGGAATGCATTAGGAAGTGATGTGGTGGAGGCTGACTCCATACATAGTTTCAAGTGTAGATATGACAGAGCCCGATAGGCTCAGGAATCTGTACACCTGTTGATTGACGGTTGAGAGGCGGGACCAAAGAGCCAGAGCTCAACCCCCGCAAACACAACTAGGTGAGTACACACACATATCCACATCACACACACACATATCCACATCACACACACACACACACACACACATCCACATCACACACACACACACACACACATCCACATCACACAGACAGACAGACACCCACAGTACTACTTGTGTAAAGGAGGAAATGTATGTTTATCTCTCAGAATGTTTGGTAATATGGTTGTTGCTTGTGATGTGTGTGTATGTATGTATTAACACGATGTACTGAACGGGGTGAAAATAGCTTGAGCTACCTCATCCCTTTGTGTGTATTTTACCTCAATAAACTTATTTCAGTTTCATTTTCACACAAACACACAGTGTGAGAGAGTGAGTGAGTACACAATGAAGGGAAACTACCTACCTGTGCAGCCCATCCTCGCATACAAAGATCCAAGCTCGTTAATCCAGCCACCAAACCCCCTGATTATGAATGAAAAGCGGTTTACACACGACTCACAACTGATGACATCCGAACACTTCCGGAACAAGTGCTTCGCTCACGTCCTCTGTTCGAACTACAATTCTATAAATGCTTCACCCCACGTACTTCAAATACAAATATCGCCAACAGAACCTAAACATCTAACCTATGCGCCTAACTATACATATAATTTTTATACAATTATAATTTTAATTCATTGTGTCGGGGAACAGGAAGCCAGAATGTATTCATACACGTTTTGGTTTTTATCGAGGTTCCCCTCCCTAGGCCCAATTACTGATCCTGCCAGGATCCAACCCCACAAGAAGCTGACTAACTCCTGAGTACCTACTCACTGCTACATGAACAGAGGTATTAGGTGAAAGGAAATGTGCCCAACTATTTCTGTCCTCGGGTTCAAACCTGGAATTCTCGATTATGCATTTAATATTAATTTATATATTTGAATAAACTAATTTTTAATACACAGTACAGTATGTTAAAATTGATGAATGCATCTGGGGAGGACAACCGCTGCTTTAAACAGCCTAGTGTGAGGATGGGTTGACCTGTGACGATTTGAAAAAGTGACCTGGGAGTGGACATAACACCAAATCTAACTCCTTAGGCACATATAAATCAGATTAAGACAGCATCGTACTCTATGCTAGCAAAATTTAGAACGTCATTCAGAAACCTAACTAAGGAGGCATTTAGAGTGCTGAGAGACCAGTCTGAGTATGCAGCCCAATCATGAAGCCCCTACCTGAAAAAAGATACAGTATTAGGAAACTGGAAAATGTTCAGAAATTTGCGACAAGGCTCGTCCCAGAATTTCAAGGGATGGGATATGAAGAACGACTGAAGGAACTGAACCTGACTACATTAGAAAAAAGGAGGGAGCAGGGAGATATGATACCAACATATAAAATGCTTAGGGAGATTGACAGTGTGGAAATAGACGAAATGTTCACACGGAATATCAACAGAACAAGGGGACATGGGTGGAAGTTGGAAACTCAGATGAGTCATAGAGATTTTAGAAAGCTTTGTTTTAGCATGAGAAAATGTGGGAAAATGGATTGAACTAAAGGAGCACGTTGTGGAAACAAACATTATTCATAGTTTTAAAACTAGATAGGGAAGTAAAATGTATTATTGAATACACAATTTAATAGAAATGTTATGATTAACAGTACGTCAAAATCATCTTAGTATTTAACGTAACCAAACTTAAACACACACAATGTTACATGAACAGTGCAACTTTTGAGTCAAAACACTTGAACCGAGAAGTCTACGTCTAGAAATATTGTACACTGATATAGCCCAGCTCAGTTTGGTGAATATCAAGGTCAAAATTTGTAAAGTTTATCACTTGTTTATCTTAAGCATCTACAGTATATAAAAGATATTTGTTTATCGGTTTGTCTGAGATTGGAGACCAGGCATTTGGGGCTATCCTCACTGAACTTTCCAAGATGACACATGATGGGTATGGGAGTGTCATAAGCCAGTTGGGGTTATGACACTCCCCTCACCATCCCTATGAAGACTGGTAACTGGGTAATAGGGCTTAATGTTGATGAATTAAAAACAATTATTGGAAAATCTGATTGATTTTGGTGCATACATTTTTTTTGCTCATCAATTTACTAAAATTGTGTTTACAGTACCGAGCCAAGTTTTTGTTACATATGAAGACGGTCAAATTTTGTGTTAAATGCTGCGATAAATTGCTGTTAAAATGCTGCGTTAAATTGCTAAATGTTAAATTGCACTGGATGTGTATATGTATGGTATACAGTAACATTGTCAGGAACATTTGATAGTATACCAATGTCCCCCTTGCCAAGAGCAAGACTGTCCCTGTGTTAACCCATCCAGCTGCCAGCCACACCCAATGGTACTTAACCCAACTGACCAAATAAAACACATCGTCTACCATGCTACAACTTGACAAATAGAAATGTACGTGTTATGATATACCTGCAACTTTTCTATAACTTAATTTTGATTGTAGTAATTAAATGTAAATACTGTACAGGAACCTGTATTATATATGAGCGTGGCTCTTTGGTGGTAGTACTGTACATGTACATTGTAAAGGATAGTAAGTAGTATAGTAACCACAGTAAGGGATACATAGCCTTTTTGTTTAAGATTATTTGATAAAATTGTGTATTGTAATGTGTGTTGTACTGTATATATTAAAAATACATAATACTCATACCTTAAAAATTTGTATTTTGTTTTAAAGGAGGAAATTCAACTTTCATTTTATGATAAAAATTAAATCAAATGTGTGTGACTTTATATTGCTATTTTTTTTTGTTTTAAAGAACCACGATACCAACTTTTATTTCATCTATCGAGATATTTATTAAGGGTAGTATAAAAATACTGTAATGCCATTACATTAATTGATCTGAAAGTTGTTATTTTGCTTCACGGAGTCTCCAGCAAAACCCTGTTATCAATATTGAACTTGTATCTTAGTTTTCCACAGTATTGTTATACCTTTTACCATGTTATTGAAGAGGTTGTGTTACGGTTACAGATTAGCAGCTCTTCAGCGGAGTGGGGAGGATGGCTGGAAGAACCGGGTTAAGAAAGAAGGAAAAGATGTCAACTCCAATGTCACACTCCGACCCAAGGTGAGTAGGCCTACCTGTACAGTACTGTCAAAGTTTTGGTATTTTAATTTATTTATATTTTATATGATTTCATTAGCATTAATGGATTAACATTACATTTGAAATGCTATTGGTACAGTGCAATAATGTCATAGTTAATATAATTTATATAAATTATAATTTTAGGTCACCAGATAAGATATTTAAAACCCATAAGTTAGTTTTTCATTCAAAACATGAATGTTTTTATCAGTTAAACTCCTCTCTCTTCTTGCTGTCAATATACAAAATAGAGCAGTACACAGTTTGTTAACATAATCACTGTATTAATAATGTTTCTGGATTTCTCATCAATACTGAACTACAGTATAAGAAGTTAATAATATCTATCTCAATATTCAACCTTTCATAGATGGGTTGGACTTCATGTGCAGTTGTACAAGAGTTCTCTTTGTCGTGAATAACTAAACAGCATAGAAGCTTTGCCCAAACCGTATTTTATAAGTTAGAGACTAATAGCAGTTTTATTTTATCCTTTTCTCAAGGTTATTTAATAAATGTGTGATCCCAGTATAGAGATTAATTCAAAACCAATAAATTTTTTCAGCCTGTTGGAGGTTTGCGGGAACGACCTGTTAGTCTCATGGATAGAATGTCTGCTCTGGAGACGTCGTCACAACAATGGCGGGGTCGGATCACGCAGTCTGATGCCACGAAGTTTACTGTGGCGCACAAGATGGCATCATCGTCTACATCATCAGTACCATCCATTGTTGGTGGAAATAGTCCACTCATCATCGTGACCCCAGAGCAGCCATCCACGCCAATAGGAAGTCCCCTTTTGGAGCGTAAGAAGAGGTCACCATGTCAAAAAGTTTTCAAAAGCAAGACTGGAGGAAATCTTCCAGCACTTTTAAATAAATCCAGTCCACTTTCTTCACGAAAGGACTTCAGACGTAGTATTTCTACTCCAAATGATGGAGAAAAGAGAGGTAAGCATATTAAAGCTCAGTTAAAATGCAATATATTTGTAACCAAATCATTAGATATGCTACTTTCAGTCCTTCACATCAGATTGGGCTGAACTCATTCTTCCAGCAGACAAACTTACTGACTTTTTCTTAATCTTGGGTACATACAGCCTTCAGAGCTATCGCAAGCAGCTAGATGCATATGTACAGTAGTATTATGTTAATAATATTTCAGTTACTAAGTACCTTGTTGATGGGCTGCTGTAAATGCTGAAGTGGCTTCACATCAGTGCCTTTAACAGTTACAGTATGATGGAGTGTTGCATGCTCTTCAGCTCTAGGCAGAATGTTGATCACATTTGCCATGCCAAGTTGAAGGAAGATTATGTATATTATGATTTTTTAATTTTTGTTACCATATTGAAGTGCAAATCACTTCAAATGGTTTTTAATGAGTCAGGGACAGGAAGTTATTAGGCTTGTCAAGGTCATCCCTAGACCAACTAGTAACCATCCTCAGGATCCCTCTGAGTGGAAATAAACCTGTATTAGCAAAGAATAAATCACAGTAACAACATTTCAAACAAATAACCCAACTCACATGTGAAAATTAAAGTGACGGCAGGAATAGGAGGCTGAATACACTTCTCAGAAAGTGTATTCAGTGCACATGCTTTTCATGTGCACTACAAGCTATCCATACTATTTTATTCAGCCCATCATTAAAACAAAGGAATGTGAGGTTTGCAATGCATAAGTCAAATACTGACTGTACCTAAGTCAGTATTTGTGCACCTAGCCATGTTCGAGTCCATGACTTGAAACATGCTTCATTCACTTTTGAGGCCATGACTTGAAACATGCTTCATTCACTTTTGAGGCCATGACTTGAAACATGCTTCATTCATTTTCAGCCTGCAGTGTAAACACTCCTTAAATCAATGTAACCAAAACACCTTTCCTAATCTAACCTAGACCTAACTATACATAAAGCTAACAATATATAATTATAATGTTTCCTCAAGTTTCAGAAAATAAATAGTTTTTATACTGTATGGGAGATTCATCCTGTTTGCTGAAGAACTGAAAAACTGCACTAATTTTGTACAAACTAATTCAATATTTAACTTATTGCTTGGGCTGGAGGATGGGTTAGTAGTTTTATTATAGTATACAGTAAATAATAAAGAAAAATATAAAAAACACAAAGTGTTAATGTTAAAAAGAACAAATAATAAAAGTACCAAGGCAGAACAAAAATGCTTGTTTTAGTGAGCATCAATTTCTTTTAATTTGTCTGTGTTTGGAAAAGGAGAAAATGAGGTACATGCACTTAAGTTGACCAGACCACACACTAGAAAGTGAAGGGATGACGTCGTTTCGGTCCATCCTGGACCTTTCTCAAGTCGAATCAAGTCGATCAATCGACTTGAGAATGGTCCAGGACGAACCGAAATGTCATCGTCCCTTCACTTTCTAGTGTGTGGTTTAGTCATTTTATCTTCAGCCATGTTATTGTTATTCATCGTCTGCATGTACATGCATTGTCGTCACATTGGTTGATGTACTGTATTTGAAAGTGCTTGTCCCTGAAAGCTGAGAGTACTGCCACTTGACTAATTTCTCGTAAAGTAAGGCTCAGATTTTGAATTAAAATATGTGATGCTTTGAGTGTCAGAAATTTTAAGTTGAAATTAATAAGAGTGTCCTTTTTGTCCTAATTTTTCAGCTGAAATACTTGAGGGCACGAGTGTGTCTGTACCTCGGGCCGATGACGAGTCGTTCACTTCCTTCTTTAGTCGCACCACCTCGACGGAACCCTCACTCTTCCCTGATGTTGATGTACCCATATTGGAAGATGCAGATTTTGATCTAATCTCTGAAACTGCATCCCAGCTGTAAGTATTATATTATTTTGTAATATTGTTACTTGTCTTAGTTCTATTGTTTAACTATAAAACAGAAAAGTCTGAATGCTCAGTTTAACATTTATGTAATATGTTTTGACATAATGAGCACCCAAGTATTGTATTATTATATTGGGAACTTTATTATACAGTATTGGGAACTTTTGTGGCTGAATGTTGAAAAAATATAAAATTGTAAACCTGTTCTTCCATATGTAGGACTTTTATCAAATCCGACGGAGAAATACATGCGCACTCTAATTGCCACAGGTGGTGAGGAATCTTGAAGGTTTATATAGAGAAGGGTGTTATTATGAATTGGGGGAATTAATAATATCGCAGATTTGGTGAGGCAGATGGGAAAGTGACAGCTGGTGCACATAGTGTTCTTTGGTCTTCTTTTCACCAGAATAACTGTCACTGCTAATTGAGACAGTGATGTGACAGGAATGTTCCTGTCAATCCACGCAAAAAATTCAGCAAATATTGATGATATAGTGCTAACTAGGCATTGAAGCTGCTGTAATGAAGTTTGAGTGATTTTTGGACCATAGAGTATGATGAAATTATTAGCAGAGAATGAGATTGACTGGGTAGTGAACAATCACCTGGGCACTTTTTTTTTTTTTACTAGTAAATTGCAAATAAATTTGTAAGTCCTTAATGCTTCCTTCATCACATCTTCACCAATAGGGACAGAGCTAATGTTAAAGAAAGTTAGTGGGAGCAGAAAACTAAGTGCCCTGATCACCAAACCATATGGTCTGTCCGGGACCATTAATAAGTTGTGTGTGCCATTGTGCTTTTTATTGGCCAAGTTGCTATTCTCAAGAGCCACTTTCTAAATATGCCCCCCTGTATACTCTCGGGTGTCAACTTTGAAAGCAGCCCACTCTCTGACTTTCACATCGGAGGCCTTGGAGGTTTGCAATTGGGAATGGCACAATGGCCCTACAAAATTTGTATTCAGAGGGCTGACAAATTCTGCACTCGTATGTGGTGAGAATGAACTTGAGCTGAAGATACGGGAAGTAACCACAATTCACAACTTTAGGAGCATGCAAAACAGAGTACTGGAGCATTTGGAAGTAATGTACTGTATACATGAACCAGATATATATTAGCTATGATGTGGATTGGAGGCTCTGAAGCTAGATTGTCCTTCTCATAGACTCGACTAAGTAAACATACATACTAGAAGTACACTTCATCAACTTGAAGGATGCTAAACTCGGTATTAAAAAATAAACATGAGAAGGAGGTGTGTAAATATTTAGTACAACACTGAATAGAATCAACAACATTTCAGTACTGTATTGCATTATGATTGTCATATTACAGTACAGTACTAGTACTATATATATATATATATACTATATAATACTATACCATACTATATAATACTATAAATACAAATTGTGCAGTGCTTAGTCCTTCACATGTCTGGCCTTGCCTCATTTTCTTTTCTCTTTACAGTATCTAATTATATATCTTTACTAGATTTAATCAAATCCAGGCAAAATGTCTTGTTGTTTCCCTACATTGTTTGGTTTCCCATTATTGGGGGACAGAAAGCTCATTAGGCTTATCGAGGTCTGCCTAGGCTAATTATATTGACCTTCCCAAGCATTCAACCAACAACAGTTGTCTTCACTTCCAATTAACTAGTAATAGGCATCCATCAGTCTCGGGAGACTATGGAGTTGCGCTCTGATGTCAGCCTGGCCTGGAGTGGCCTCACCAGGGCGCAAAGCCAGGGTAGGTTGATTCAGGGGAGAAGCTGTTACCCAGGCAGCAGGTCTCCCCTCTCCACGGCGCTGAAAGAATAACTACTAGTTGCATTAATTGAAAAGAAATGTGTCCAGATGTCTGTCTCTTGCCCCAAGAATTAAACCCCGAGACCTTTCAGTTGTGAACCAACTGCACTGCCCACTGGACTACAACTAAATCTGCCCTTAATCACTACAACAAACATGATGTTATTGATAATATTAAAAAAAATGAATATAGGGTGAAATTCAAGCAGCATTCACTATTTCCTTTAATATTTTATTGTAATTTAAAGGCACTTATCCCATTGCTACCAGGAACATTTAAGATATATTTTCTAAATATAAATTTGTTGCGTCTTGTGTATTTATTATTGCTGTAGCTAGGTTGTCTTTTGACTCATTTGCTAGTGTTACTTGATATGCACATTTATGCCTTATATTTCCCTCATGCCTCAGTAGACAACAGGAAGATGATGACTTGTAAGTGACCGAGAAGTTTATTTTTAACTTTCACTACTAAATTTAACACGTACTGTACATAGTTTACGAGGTTGGCTATTCTTTACTTCTAGTTTTCAGTTAGGCTACTGTTTTATTGTGTGTGTTACCTGGAGGTAAAAATTATCAAGGATGTATTTTATTAGTGTCTTAATACAAAGGGTTTGATTGAAGTTTAGGGAAAGAGAGAAACTGGTTGAGAAAGATGTCTAGAGAAATTTAAAACATGTGTTTGTTATACTTTAAAAGTATGTTGTGTGTGAATCATCAGTTGTTTAATAGGAAAAGATGTCAAGAATGAGACTAAACATCCCAGCAACCAAATTAGCAACTGTTCTCTCAGGGAGTAATGTCAGGATTTTTTTCTAAAATAATCTCTTATAATATTATGAAATGATATATTGTAGAATATATTATAGACCAAATACGTAATACATTAATTAACCTTCAGTGTGGTAAAGCGGCGTAGTGTACGAGTAACTCGTCGTCAAGTGGCATCTCGTAACCCATTGAAGACTTTGGCTGCTCGTGAGGATCTCAAGTCGGAATACACTGAAGTAAAGATGGGTGTAGGTGAGAGGGAACTACGTAGAATGAAGGTGCAAGAACGTGAGTAGCAAAGTGTGTTATTCTTTAATTGAAATTGGATTTGTAAAGCTCTAGTATTTGTTCATTAGCTTAGAATTAGCTAAACTACGTAGAATGAAGGTGCAAGAACGTGAGTAGCAAAGTGCATTATTCTTTAATTGAAATTGGATTTGTAAAGCTCTAGTATTTGTTCATTAGGTTGATTGAAGAGTTATCAGTCCTGCAAACCTTGGCTTTTCTGTTGAAAAGATGGAGGGCATGCAGTCTCTTTGTGCTGTTCTACATAATAGATTAAAAATTTCTAATTTAAATATTAACTTTTTAACTATTAGGTTATCTTTCACTGAAGACCATTTAATAAAATTTACTTGTACTGTATCCTTAGACAGATAGCACTGGGGTCATTTATACACAATTTATTTGTATGTAATTATGCAGTTTTATTAGACTCTCAAATGTTTTTAAACACTTTTGTTTATATAAATTATTTCATTTACCATTATGTAACATCTACAATAATTATAAATGTGTTTTTCTATGTCAAATACAGTTGCCAATGGTTTTTGTTTCACCAGTTTCCAAAGGCTCACCAATGGCAGTCGAGGCACTGGCAGGTCTGGCATCTCGGGAGAACTTCTCCGCTGTAGCTTTGAAGAAAGTTGAAAGCACACCAGTGATTCGAGAAATGGCCCCTTACACTTCACTAATGCTTTTGCAAATAAAGGGCCGGCGTCATGCTCAGACAAGATTGGTTGAACCCATAGCATCTAGTATTAACCAAGGGGATGACTTTGTCTTAATAACTCCCACAGACGTATGTAACGTTGATCTTATTTTCCTCGGCCAATGAATAACAAGGCTCCTAAAGCAATGAAACTAGTGCACATATACAACATGAAATAATGTACTTTTATCTGACAGCTGATCTATTGAGGCATTAAAGAGAGAGTTGTTTCTCTTATGGTTTGATGTATGCTCAGTCATTTCAATATTATCATGAAACTTTAATTTTAGCTGAAGTATTTAATTTGTTAACAAGATTAAACATTTCTTAAGGGAGACGATGAGTCTCACTAATGTGGCTTGAAGATATGAGACCTGAACCAGAAGATGAGGAGACAATGACGTTTCAGTCGACAATCGACGTGATAATGGTCCAGGACGGGCCGAAATGTCGTCGTCTCCTCATCTTCTGGTGTGTGGTTTAGTTATCATATCTTAAGGGTTTTGTTTTTTCTCATTCAGGTATATCACTACAAAGGGGAGTTTTCAAATGTCATTGAGAGAGCTAAAGCTGCTGAAATTGCTCAGTACATTTTACAAAAGAAAGACATGGGTGTCACTTCTGCTAAGAATCTTGTAGAAATGGATGAAAATTCTCCAAGTGGAAGAAAATCTAAATTCTGGAAATTACTTGGTAAGTAAAATAACATTTGTTATGTTGTGTAAATGCTTTCATTATTACTTTCCAACAGTTGAGAAATGCTAGGTGTAATACTAGATTTTAGTCAACTAAAATTTTTAACTTTTTATTTTTTTAAATAACTCTCTATAGCTTAGCTGTGTATAATTTCCTGTTACCCCTTTCTTGGGTCTTGTGGCTAGTTTCACTGTAAGGAAGTCAAATTGAATTTTGAGTTTAATGCAAGTTATTGTTTCCTGAGGGGGTCATGTGGTGATGACTAAGGGAGCTTATGAGTCTTATATTCCTGGACGCTCCCTTTAGGTGGTGTAGTTTGCCCACCGCCACATAATGGAATGCAAAATTAAGTGAAATCAGGCCACATTCAAGCTACAACTTAGATGAAAAGATACTAAAGATCACAAGCCATGAGAGAGATTGAGTGGTCCTGGATAATAATGTTACCATAAAATCACATCACCGGGATAATAAGAAAAGTCTATGCTACTCTGATCAATTTCAGAGTTGCATTTAATTATTGCATGGAGAAATACTTAATGGGAATTATAGATTCAAGATAAAAAAACAGAGGCTGAAATAACTTAAGTTCTCATGCAAATGCAGTAGTGAGAAATAAAATAAATGAGAGGGTAGTGCATCCCCAAACTATTGGAAGCTTCAAAACATCACCTAAAGGAGATTAGCTCTAATTCTGTAACAAATTTGTGTCAATTACAAATTTAGATAATTACATAGCCTGCTATGCTCCATCTGTAAGATATACGATATGAAGTCATGATGCAAAATTCAAGTTTTAACAGAACTTTGACACTGGAGTATGTCACTGGAACATGAGTGTAAATGCATTATTGTAACGGTAACTATTAATTACCATGAGATCTTAGAAGAGATTTCATCAACAGGTGGTGATGAGACAAGTGAAGGTCAACCAGGAGGCCTACCTGACGAGGATGAGTATGTGGAGGCAGCACTTGTAGCCGTCAATAAAGTTTACGAGGTTCAAGATGACTCGCTCGTTCCACTTGCAGATTCCTGGGGACAGATGCCAAAAATAGAAATACTTGTATCTGATAAGGTGGGTATTATTTGCCATGGTGTTTATACTGTATTTTGGAACATTTAAAAAAAAGTGTTATAAAATTATAGACTTTTTTGTGTAGTCTTGGAATTGGTTAATATTGACTAGTGTGTTGTAAAGTGGCTGTTATTCTTTAGGTTCTTTATTCATTTTTTAATACTTTTAGCATCGTAGTAATTATTTTTACCATTTGGTTTAGGTACTCGTGTTTGACTTTGGCTCCGAGCTGTATATATGGGCAGGAAAACGTGCATGCAGTGATAAACGAAAAGTTGGTCTGGCATTAGGTCGGGAACTATGGGAAGAGCAATATGATTACTCCGAGTGTGACATTAACCCCATCGTGCCTATGACCCCAGTATCAAAGGCAAAGATGAAAGGTTGGTTCTCTTAATGTTTTCCTTTGAAATGTAAATTCTTAAGTAGAGTAAAATTGAAATGCATTCCCATATATTGACATGTTTTTATTATTATTATTATTATTATATGCTTACTGATAAATATTGATTAGAAAACCTGAAATTTTTTATATATTGATTGGATTTATTATATACTTTTACAAATCTTGTGTAACTTTTTTTATGGTAGGTTCTCGGCCAGAATGGGGCATGTGTGCCAAGCTTACAGAAAATGTAGAAACCATTCTCTTTAAGGAAAAGTTTATAGATTGGCCTGATCTAGCTCAGCAATCAAGAATAAAGGTACTGTATGGTGTTATGTAACAACTTATCAATGTTTTCAGCTGTGTGTCTAATATATCAAATAAGTCTGTAATACTGTACTACATATGAAAAGTTGTTTTTAATGTCAATAAATTTTTATTTCAACTTTATTATATCCCTTTGCATAGCATTATTTACAATCTCTGACCTCTTTGTTTTTCCCAAACGCATAAATAACACTAAATTATTGTTGTTACCCAGGAAGTGAAGAAGGAGCTTGATCGCCATGTAGCTCCTGTATGTGAGCTGCAGCCCTGTGATGCCAAAATGATGCTAGAGGAATTACCACTTGAACCTGACCTGGTGCTGGAAATGAGTCACTTGGGTCGTGGGGTGGAATACTACGACGAAGAGGTGCGCTAGTGAAGGCGGCAGCTCGTGTAGCAGATTGGTCATTCGCCAGTCTGCTTAGTTTTCCTTCATGTTCTTTGTGTACTCTGCACACCACTCTTATGTACTGTATTGACTCTTGTATCAGTGATTTCCTAGTCACAGTTCTTATGGATTCCTCTATGCACTCTTGAAGACCTTCCTGTGCCTTGTTAATTTTGGCTTAGACTCCTGCCCACTGTTGAACAGTGGTTTGTAGTGTCTTGATCATCAGCTGCTGCTAGTCAGTGGCAATCCGCCTGTAGATAGCAAGAGGCACCTTCCAAACCACCGTGTAGCTCTAGTGTACATGTATATGCCAACACCATTCTCTTTTTCTCTCCATGGTGTATCTTGCTCCTGACAGCAAGACTCGGTTTGTACTGACTGCACATTTGACTCCCTGAGACCCTAGCCAATCTTCCTAGGTTCCAAGTGGAGTTAATACATGACTGTGCTTCACATATCCATCCCACTTTTCCTTCTATAACCCTTCAACTGGTGACCTGTGCTTGGGTGCCTTGTAGAAATTTGTAGTCCCTTCTTGTACCCTTAAGTGCCAGTTTTTTCTGAAGTTTGTGTACAGTACAGTATTTTGTTTCCAACTCACTCATACGCAACTGGATGTTTTTTCTCTACTTATCCTATCCTTTCTTTAAATCCTGTTTACTATTTAATATTTATCCAACCTTTAACACACAAAGCTCATTAATTCTGTTAATCATCAGTTTATGCTTGTTTACTCAGTACTCACATTGAAGAACATTATTTTTGTTTTTTGGCATACTAATTATTTTGAATGGTTATATTAGTTTTATTTTAATTTTTTTATGTATACTATTCCAAGTGACCTTGAATGTTTGCCCCTGATATCCTGGCTAACCATCCCTTACTCCCCTCCCAATTTCCTCCAACACTCACCTGGGTCGCCTCAATCTGCTGCTGGTAACAACGCTGACCGCATCAACAACCCCCATGTTGCTAACTTCGTGCTGTCCAACAATCTACCATCTTCATGTATCAACACTGATGGGCGCCACTTTTAACCTACACTTTACGGGCCATTAAATGTTGCGTGTGCGTGCATTTGTTGCCTGCTTTTGCAAACTCCAGGAGCGACGCCTCTTAAGCATCTCGACGAATGATTTCAAGGTCTGGCATGTGTCAGAATATGGAAAAGTGTTGATGGATGCAACGTCCCATAGTCATCTACATGCTGGAGATACATATGTCGTGCGATGGTACTACCTAATTACAGCAACGGGCAGAACTCTCAAGGTTAGTTATTCATCTGTTAATGAATGTAACGATCATTTAAGCTAATATTATTAAACTTTACACAAATCTAAAGTTCTAAATTTAGTTAGGATACTTATTTTAGTAGCACAAAAAATAATGGGTTTAGGGCAGGTACATAGTTTTATACACTTTTGAAGATAGCTTTTATCTCCATTTTATTCCGTCTCCATGCTTCCACTTTCCCCTGCCATCTAAGGGTTCTATTCACCTATTACAGTAATTATATTTTGAAAATGAGAACTATCTAAGCTAGCACATATACATGAAAAATCTGAATAATATAATTTTGCGTACATTTTTCTGTTATTGTCTAAAAATACTGTATGGGCAAGTACTGTACAGGAATTTTTTTCAATTAATTTTTATGAAAAAGAATGTGAAATATTTATTTTACAGGGTGAGCCATCAAAGCACAATGTGACTGGTAGGTCACGAGTGGCCTACTTTTTCTGGCAGGGACGCGAAAGCTCTGTGTCCGATAAAGGTGTGTCTGCTCTAATGACGGTAGAATTAGACGAAGAACGTGGCCCTCATGTACGCGTGTCTATGGGGATGGAGCCACCGGCTTTTCTCAATTTGTTTCAAGGTGGACTTGTGATACACCAAGGACACAAAGATGACGATCATGCAAATAAGCAGTGGAAATTGTTTGTAGTTCGTGGAGAGATGGAGAATGAAGGACACTTGGTCGAATTGGAAGTGAGCTCGACACATTTGAGATCCCGTGGTTGCCTCATCTTGGCCAATATGCAAACAGGTGTTATCCACTTATGGCATGGTGCCAAAGCTTTAAAACACACACGCAAGGTAATTTAAAATTTAAACTAATTTTATTTAATATTTTATCAGTTATGAACATTTATACAGTAATGACTTTTCATGTGTTGCATATGATGCACCAGAATGCATCACTAAAAGTATGATATTCATGGTAGGTTGGCAGCACAGCAGCCCAGAAACTCTCCGAAACATCAGATATTGCAATGGGATGGAAGAAAGATGTCGCCAAAAAGATCAAGGAACAGTATGAGGGTGCCGAATCTCGAGAGTTTTGGGAAGGTTTTGGAGGATCATCTTCCAAAAACAAACATTTCAGTCTCTTAGAAGATGATCATTCTTATGACTGGACTCCACGTGTATGGCAGCTAGAACCAACCCACGACTCGTTCCAAGCAACAGAGGTGATCTGCAGTTACCGAGCAACATCCTTGCCCAACCCACTGCCTGTTTTACAGCTTGACTTGTACTCGGTTCCTCAACCAGGTAAGACAAATATCAGACTGATGTCCAACACTACTACTTTTACCAAATAGCTTTACCACTGAGCACCTGCATGTCACTATAATCAAAACTAATGGGTCAGTTTTAATAATTACATTGTTACATGCTTGTGGAAGGGGAATCATTAGTTCAGATACACATACACGTGCAGCTTTTTCCTGAAATGAAGTCACAGCAGTCAAAATTTTATTTGCATTTTGAAATAGCACTGTTTTTGGTCGATGCTTGTCACCGAGTATGGGTGTGGCAAGGCTGGTGGCCTGACGAGACTTCAGAAGGAGAGGACTTCAGTGCAACTGGTTCGGCGGTGCTGCGCTTCAACTTTGCTCGCCGTGCTGCTTTAGAAACGGCACTCAGTTACTGCAAACTTAAGGCCAAAGCTCAAGCAAAGGCCATTGCTGCAAAAAGCTATAAAAAGGTAGGAGGGAATTTAAGTTGATTGAGCAATTGGCTTTAGTCACTCATATTCACTAGGAATTTTCTTGTTTTATAATACATGCACTTGGCACTACTGCAGTGATTCGTTGCATATACTTAAAACTTTCTTGCCCAGGTTGACATTTTCACTATTTTTTTTTTATACTGTGTGTGTGTGTTTGTGTATACCATACACACACACACACACTGTCACTCTCATACATACATACATGCATTACAAACACTGTATTCTATGTAGTCAATAATAACAATTTCACGTTTATAAATTCAGGTCGAGGTTGATGTTGACGTAGTGGAGCCCCAGCTTGTGGTTGCGGGATTAGAACCATTACAATTTACCAACATATTTCCTACATGGACGCCTAGACCTGATGTCACTGCCATCCAAGAGAAGGTGATTTTATGAATTAGTTTATTTACGTGCATGTTTATGCAGTATTTGCTTTTTTTTGAAGTACCTTATCATATTTTGTCTGCAGCAAAAGGATACTTGATACTTCCATTCCTTGACATAGAAGTTTGTCATCTTGTACAGTATAAAATGTTAAATAGCTCAGAAAAACTTATTTAAAATACCATAATTTGTCACAATGTGTAACACATTGATTCTTGTTGTGGCTCATTTTGGGTTTGTCTACATCTTGACATAGTTTGCAAGTGCATGTCAGTTATTTTGTTCACTTAGCCTATCCCTTCCATCTACAAATATGGTCCAAATGTTTTAGGTCATAGTTTCTAACATGTGTGTAGAGAAGTTCAGTTGATATTAATTTTAGCATCTGTAAGAAGCCGTGCTTGGCTGTATATTTTTCATACACAAAATAATTCCTGAGGGATTATCACTATAATTGATGCTATTCATTACTTCATTCCACCATCCTATATTAACATTTTAGTAATATTGATAAATTACTTTTTGAGAGTTTGTAAAAGAACACTGCTTGACCTCAGCACTTAACAATATGTATTTATTGATATATGGAGAGTATGAACAAGACCTTGCTTTGAATGTAAGAATCAGCAGATGTTTATACATTAGGAGTAACAGTTTCCATTTTAACTGTCAATATTTTCTATAATGCTAATGTTTTTCTTTATCATACTTGTGTATTTTGATATTAACTAGTTTTGTTTGTTGAATACTTTGTCTTTTTTACACTACTAAATTCCCAAATTATATACAATACTGTATTTTGAATCTTAAAAATACTTTAAATATTATTGCATGCACATATTAATCCTGTTTTATCTTGTTTGCTCATTACATTAAAACTATGTTTACATAAACTGCTATAATAAGAGGTTAACGTTTACACCATATTCACAATTCAGGTTTCATTATGAATCTTAGTTTTAATAAATTAAGATGTTTTAAATTGTTAAAAAAATTATTAATATCCAAGTATATAACTCTTTGAATATCAATGATGCTTTTCTATGGAAATTTGCAATCAGTTCATCCATGCCAGTATCATCTCGGTAGTAGACCCTTTATCTAACGAAACGATTGTGGTTATGTTGGAAATAAATTTATAAGTATTATAATATTATATATATATAATATATATAGTGTTGTATTTAGATACAGGATAAGATCACTGCACCATTTGGACATTTGGTACATTAGGCCATTTTTATCTAAAGAGCAGAGCTTGTATCCAAGTAGCACAGTGCTTAGTTTTTTCCCTATCAACATAGCCATAATCCTTAAGTTATGATCCATAGAGTACACCAACTGCACGTTCCCATCTGTCATATTATTCTGAACAAGCATTTCTGAGCATTTTGCAAATCACTGAAAATTAATGAAATTCTAAACGTCAAATTTCAACTATGAAACAATGTTACTATGTTAAAAAAAAAAAAGTCAAATTGTGTGGGGTTGGATGTCTTAAATTATTTTATTTCTATTTAAAAAAAAAAATTCCACTTGCAATGTTTCTAAGTTTAGTCTGGCTTTTTCTCCTGAACATTCTATATTAAACCTCCTTTATATATATCACCCACCCAGTGTTCTCTCCACCTTTGAAATCATTCCCCTTGCATACTCTCCAAGCCAGGGTTAGGGTATATGCATATTATTTCTCGCTCCTTTCTTCTTACTGTCAGTGTACTAGATGGAAAAGTGCCTTCATAACTTTTTTAGTTCTGACAGGTCTCAGCTTTCAACAGGTTATAAGTTTAGGTTTTCTAGCAGATAATTTTGGTAATTCAATTTCTTTCTTTTGGCATACACCAAAAAGTTTTATATTATATGTATATATAATATGATATATATGATATATGATATATGATATATCATATATGATATATCATATATCATATATCATATATCATATATCATATATGATATATCATATATCATATATGATATATCATATATGATATATCATATATGATATATCATCATATATGATATATCATATATGATATATCATATATCATATATGATATATCATATATGATATATCATATATCATATATATTATTATATATTATATTATATATAATATATATTATATATAATATTATATTATATAATATATTATATATTATATATATAGAATATATTATATAATATATTATATTATATATAATATATAGAATATATTATACTGTATAATATATTATATTATATATAATATATTATATATATTATATTATATATAATATATTATATAATATATTATATATTATATTATATATAGAATATAGTATTATAATATAGTATTATAATATAGTATTATAATATAGTATTATAATATAGTATTATATTATAGTATTATATTATAGTATTATATTATAGTATTATATTATAGTATTATATAATAGTATTATATAATAGTATTATATATTATATAATAGTATTATATATTATATAATAGTATTATATATTATATAATATTATAATACTCCGTTATTATTTCTTCCCCTTTGTTATTTTCTTCTTCCATCACTTTCTCTTCTAATAAATTAATAATACATTTTGACAGGATAAATTTTGGGGTCTTTGCCGAGTATTATTACACTGGCATTCCAAAGACAGATTTAAGGTTTCATTTTTTGTAACATTAACTAATATTTCACTTTACTGTATTAACATACCTAGTTATGATTATTGTAGAATGTTAAACTTGTACTGAATACCATGATACAGTATATCTAAGCACTGTACTGTATACAGTAATAAAGTGCATTGTTACATGAAACAAGTGTACAAGCTCCTACAAACCAAACCTGGCAGTGGAGAGAGAATCCGTATGGGGGAGTAGAAGATATGTCGCTGCTCTCCTGTAAGGATACTCTTACTACTGTCAAGGAAAAGCAACACGATCAACAACAACGACTGTTTAATATGAGAAACCTTGCAAGTTGAATGGATATCTGCAGTATGTTATTTTGGTTATAAAAACTATTTACTTCGACATTTTTGTTTTACCTTCCAAGAATTTTTATTTGTGCAATAATAATGAATACAGTATAAATAGGGTTTATATTTACATTCTTGAGTATATGATACTCTACATAATTAATCCAAGGGTTAAATACTGTATGTGTATATAAAAAAGGTATACACTCATACAGTGGGACAGTGGACAAACCTTGGTGGCATGCAGCCGGTCGGCCGAGTGAACAGCACACTGGACTTGTGATCCTGTGGTCCTGGGTTCGATCCCAGGCGCCGGCGAGAAACAATGGGCAAAGTTTCTTTCACCCTATGCCCCTGTTACCTAGCATTAAAATAGGTACCTGGGTGTTAGTCAGCTGTCACGGGCTGCTTCCTGGGGGTGGAGGCCTGGTCGAGGACCGGGCCGCGGGGACACTAAAACCCCGAAATCATCTCAAGATAACTAAGATGACACAAAGAATATTGATTTTGTAAAAAGCCAATATTTGAGACCAAATATTGGTCTCTGCTCTGCAAATTTGAAAAAAAAAAAATATATAAGCAAAACATCAATACTTAATCAAAAGAAATATTGTTAGTTCACTCGAAGTTAATTGAAAGTTCTGAGGAGAGATGTTGACATAGCGGTATGTTTTGTTAAATGATTGTAGTGTAATTTTATGCTGGATACTACAATGTGATTTAATGTTGAGTAGAGGAAGAAACTGAGTTAATGGAGCACTTTTAAAGTTGCTTAGGAAGGTACAGTACTATGCCAGGTGAAGTGTCAGGTTCACCTGATAAGCCAGACACAGGTGAAGTGTCAGGTTCACCTGATAAGCCAGACACAGGTGAAGTGTCAGGTTCACCTGATAAGCCAGACACAGGTGAAGTGTCAGGTTCACCTGATAAGCCAGGCACAGGTGAAGTGTCAGGTCCCTAAGCTACCCCTCTCAGCAATGTTCACACTGGCAGTGAATCATCTTGCTTGTACCATAAGCAACCAGCCTGACTGGTATTTTAATTAATTTTACCTCTCTGCCACTGCTATACTGCACTTTAGGCTTGTTAAATGCCTTCAAGATCTCATTTTCAGTTTAAAAAAAATATAAAACCTTCCTTAATACTTAATAATATTTACTGTGGTTGACACCTTGAACTTTGCTGCTACAACATTTTTTTGATTGATGCCCCTCTACCTTCCTAAGTCCTACTTTCTTTGATATCAGCATCATAACATGATTTCTGGAGTAATCATTATAGACACAATGCCTGACCGATTTCCTGTATTTGGAGACAGCATTTTGAAAGTAAGTTTTGTATTTATGTTGATAAATCCACTGATTAATGCCCATGCCAGAGGAGAATGGAATATTCTCATTTGGGGTAAATGTGCAGACCTGATGCATGATTATGTATGGACAACATGGATTGACCCTGACAAAGTTGTAATTGTTGCTTTATAACAATACAGTGGGGCCTGGGGCCATTACAAAGTTTAATATCAAGCACTTCTACAGAATTGTTGGGATGATGGAACCATTGAACCGTCCCACCATTTGGACTGGAGTCCAAATGGTGGGACGTTTAGGTAAATCAATGTATCTTTCAGGGATAGTCTTCATATCTATCTATCATATCTACCTATTGCATGATTTGTAAAATACATGTGAATTTAATTGACACTAGCTACTACAGCCCATATAATTGTTAATGTAATTTTATTACAGGGAAAAAAATATTGTGTGGGGGTGGAGTTTGGTGTTAACTTTAGCCAATGTTTAATATATGTTGCAAGTATTGAAGAATAAGATATGATATACATTGCATGTATTATTTAGTTCATATATACTGATATTGATACTTTCATTATAAGTGGTACAGTATTTCATTAAACTTTATATGTTTTGTCCTATTACTGTTAAAAGTTGTAGCCATCATTTAATGTTTGCTAGATATGATAATAATAAATCTTTATTTTTCTAAACCAGTTGTGATGATATAGGAGTTCTATTTGTTAAGTGCATGTGTGTTGCATGATTATAATACACTGGCACCTGCAGAATCTGAATCATATTAATACAATCTAGAGTTGTATAAAAGCCAGAATTCATAAATTGCCATATTTTGGTTATCCCTTAAGGTTCAGCTTACACTACAATATCATGACATTTCTTAAAACTTATGCAGTCACCCTGAAGTCCCAAATCCCTATGGTTAGTTCCATTGTCTACACACAACTGGATCTTCCCATCCTGCAACTACAGACACCTGCATCCTCTTCCCCCCAAACCCACCCCACAGGCTACACTGCTGTGTAAATTGTAAACAAATATAAAAATACCTGTAAATTACTGGTAAACCTCATGCTTTGAGGATTTCAATGTCTGTGTCACTTCTCTTCCCAACACTGCTCTCTATCATATTCACAAATTAAATACAGTGGTACAGTATCTCCGTTTTCGTAGTTAATCCGTTCCCAGAGATGGTATGAAAACCGAAGCAAATTTTCCCACAAGAAATAATGGGAATCGAATTAATCCTTTCCACACCCCCTAAAATATTAACTAAAAAATACATTTTATACAGAATGATACTCTTGGGTACCTGACCTTTATGGAGGACAATGAGGAGGTGGGGGGAGGTGTGTTAGTGTTTAGAAGGGGAATCCTCTTCCATTATAACAGCAGTGATGACATTTGTAGGGGACATTACTCTCTCTTATGTTTTGCAGCCATACCACTAGGACCTGGTTGTGACTCACTGCTTGCTTGTCTTACTAAGAATCTGTCTATAGACACTTGTTTTTTCCCCTACATTTTAACACTGGTCTGTAGTAAGACATCACATTGTCTCACTATGAATGATCTCTTGTTTTTCCTCTATCGTCATCCTCACAACTATTTTCTGGGGTTGAACATTACCACTGACTGCCTTGGAACCCATGTTGTGATGTATAATTAGAACATTTATGTTCAGAAAGCAAAAAAATGAAATTCTTCACAAAGAATCCAAGCATGATCATCACTAGGCGGGAGACACTGGAAAACTGAAGTGCCACGCTTGTGGTGGTGGACCCACACGTGTATAAACAAACTACGACCACCGAGGCAAACTACAACTACTGAATCAAATTTCTCGTAGAAATTTACTACGAGAACCGAAAACTATGTGAACGGGCATACAAGAACTAAGGTTCCACTGTATTCTATTTTTATTTTTTTGTACAGAACACCAATTACACACTATGTCAGTTTTAGTTGTTTTTCCTCTCCAGCTATGATTATGGTTTTCTACTAATGTGGCCTTATTATCCATAGTAAGAAAGTTTCACTTACCCTTCTCTCATGTACCCATATGGCCATTGCTACACAACATTGCTTCAACTCTAGTGAGTAATGGGGGTCACACTGCAGTCACACACAAGGAAAATACACTTGATATGGTGCCCTCGCAGTAGGATTGGATGTCTGTGAAAAAAAAGTGTCATAAACTCGTTTGTATAAATAAAGATTAAGGTGTACATGCCTGGTAAACTATTCCTAAAAGACAAATCTATGCTGAATAACATTAAAAAAACAAGCAAAAATAAGTACAAAATTATATTTTGGTGGAAATTTTATACGACCATTTTCCAGAGACATTCAAATTTTGAAGGGAATGTCTGTGGCCAGATTTAAGCTGGTCCATTATAGAGAGGTCTGAATTTGGGATTTGCCACTTATGCTTTAAACTGTACATTAAATTCAACCCATCGTGCACCATAAAATAAAATATTTCTCCAGTGGCAACGGTCTGCTTTTGTCAACTGACAAGTTGTTTAAAAAATGTTAATTTACTTCCCTCCTGCACTGCAAATATACTTTAGAATTAACCTAACCTAGGCTTAACTATGCAAATCCATAATGTTTAATAATAATCACTATAACATTCAAATTATTATTTTTTTTTTTTTTTACTGTTGAACAGCAGAGGATAGGTTCATGAAATTACTCTGCCTTATTTGAAATCATCAAAGTGTTATGTCATTTGACCTTGTCAAAATTGTGTTTTAAGTTTTAATCAATTGAACTAATTATTAGTTTAATTTGATTTAAAAATGTTTTCCTTCTCTACCTTTTAGGAGGGAAGGTGGAAACAAGATGGCCAGTACTTGGTGTCCGACATCTTAGCCCAGCTCTCTCGTACCGAGTACTCCTTTGCTGAGCTTATTGTCAAGCCATTACCAGACGGTGTCGATCCTCTTCATCTTGAGGTTTACCTCGGCGAGGAGGAGTTCACGCAGGTCCTTGGCATGGGCCGTGAAGAATTTTATAGCTTGCAGAGCTGGAAACAGACAGAGTTGAAGAAAAAAGCTAAATTATTTTAACAAAAAACTGAATAAATAATGCATTTAAAGCAGTCTTAAAGTATTGCTGTCAAGAGTGAATCTCATGTCAGGAGTAGTCAATATCAGATGAAAATAGAGGTCATTGGTCAAAATTACTAACATAATTAATGTTTAGTAAATTTTATTACAAAGCAAAAACTACAAAAATCAGAAAAATGTACATAAATTTGTGTATACTGTAATAAAATGTAAAGCTTTTAAATTTGTTGCCCCTTTTTCATACAATTTCAACATGGTTTGGAGCTTTAAAAAAAATTCTATTGTATATATGGTGATAAAATGTGGCAAATATTTTAACATTGACACGGTTGTGTTGCTCTTCCATTTCAATACTAAAATGTATACTAAAATTACTGTATGTAGTCTGGTGAACACATTCAGCCTTCAGTTGTACATGAAAAAGTTTTGTTTGCATAAGGCTTGTGTGGGTGTAAGAGTCAGTGTTGATGCGAGTTGGGGGCTTGGAGAGGATTTTTGCCCATCCAGTACCCCTCTCCTTTCACCTATGGCAACTGTTCTATGTGCCTTTCCACATGCTAGCATGCATTTGTCTGCCAAATCTTAGTGTCTTCTGCAAAGTGTGACTAAGGTGTCATATTAATCTATTTTTGACACCTCCCTCCAGTACCTCCAGGCAACAGTCACCTCCAGTAGTGGCCTGAGTTTACCTTGCCAGCCTTACTAAGGACATTCTGGTGTTTTGACGGTAGTCCTCCAGATGAAGTAATAGTCTTGAGTAGGGCTTAACTACCCACTCAAGTGTTGCTCGAGGTGATGCCTGTGCCTTGAAATTTATTTTGGCTCTCCTTTGCGAGTTTCAAATGTGACCACTCTACAGTAGTCAAACCAATGCGAGTCTAGTCCAAACCCTGGTAAAGATGATGTATGAGGTTTAGGGTCTGAATTTTGAAATTGCTGAACATGTTAAATTTGTAATTTTTTTAATCAACCAAAATATATTGTATTACAAGCAATAGCTTTATATGCAGTGCTAAATTCAGACTTCATGGGAAAGAAAGAGATGTTGAATATTTCTCTTCCTGTTGCTGTAACAGGTGGGGGGGGAAATTTTGTGACATCTATTAAATCCTGTGGTGCCTCTGGTTAGGAAGTTTGTACATAACTGATGCATTTGTATCTTATATTATGCTGACCTTTATAGATATACTAAGTTGTATTGCTATTGCAAATGGTTATATAATCCTGTAAATATAAAATGCCTCTTTTTTTGTAATTTTGCTACTTTGTGACATGTACAGACCATTTCCCTTTCTAGTGTCAGCATGTTCAATGTTCTCCTGACCCTACCAAGCTCACTGAAGCTTAGAATGTTAGGTTAGTGATTCTCATGTGTGCAACTCTGCTTGGTTTTGTGATACTTTCATCCTAAATGAAACCAAGTCAAGAAGTGTTGTTATACAAGTCCAATTAAATTTTGTTTAGAACGGATTTTAATTGGAGGTCAGCTTTATATGCAATAATTATTTAAAAACATTTTTCATATTGTATAACAGTTATTGAAAACGTATCTGATAAGAAATTTATTATTGTATAGTTTCTCTCCTATTTCTTCCAGATTCTCAGTGTGACTGCCCAGGCCAAAGACCCGCTGGCAGTCTGGGTAATGGGGTTTTGCTCACCTTTTGAGGGGGTACTTAATCAGTAATTGACAACCAATAGTAAATATTTGTAGGTCTTTTATTTTAATATATGTAAACTATGTTTAATAAATTATTGGATATTAATGTATCCCTCAAGGGTTGTTTTAAGAATTATGACATGAAAGTCATAATTACTGAGACGTGTTTAACCTCTACAAGTTGCTAACTATATTTTGTTATGCAGTTTTGCCCATATATATATAATTTGGCACTTTTTTGTAATTAATTTAGTGGTTTCTTCATTAACCACATTTTAAATGTACATAGAAATCTTCATGTAATTTATGCTAAATACATGTGTCTTTCCACTATCTTTTAACTTATTTTTAAACTATATCCTCATTCAGCAATCACTTGCAACAAACAAGCTCTTCAAAATTAAATCTCCATTATCATCTTTCTTTTAAAATCGATGTCCTGTCTTTCTAAAGTAAACACATTACAAATATACACAGTATACTGTTGGATGACAGTCCTTGTGTCAACACCTCCATCAGAGGAGCTCCAGCATTTTTCAAAATTCCTAAGTATTGTAGAACAGGTCGGTCTGTCTAATTACCGCAAGCTACCACAAGCTACACAAGCTTGACTAAGCTTCCTCGCAATATGTTAGTAATGAATAAATATGATATATTTACTCATTATAATGTTGGTGCTGAATGTACAACACGAAAAAACAATTTTAATCTGAAAAAGTATCTTTTTATAAAGAAATTAGACGAAAATAAAGAGCTGGTGACGCCAAATCAAGTCGACGATCCAAGCGTCAGTTAGGTTAGGTTAGGGTAGGGTAGGGTAGGGTAGGTTAGGTTAGGTTAGGTTAGGGTAGGGTAGGTTAGGTTAGGGTAAGGTAGGGTAGGGTAGGGTAGGGTAGGGTAGGGTAGGGTAGGGTAGGTTAGGGTAGGGTAGGTTAGGTTAGGTTAGGTTAGGGTAAGGTAGGGTAGGGTAGGGTAGGGTAGGGTAGGTTAGGTTAGGTTAGGGTAGGGTAGGGTAGGGTAGGGTAGGTTAGGGTAAGGTAGGGTAGGGTAGGTTAGGGTAGGGTAGGTTAGGGTAGGGTAGGGTAGGTTAGGTTAGGTTAGGTTTGGTTTGGTTTGGTCAACCTAACCTAACATATCATATTTATTCATTACTAATGTATTGCCAGGTAGCTTTGTGAAGCTTGTGTAGCTTGCGGTAATTAGACGGACCCGAACAGGTTGATAATAGTGAGTGGTGTCTCAAGGAACATAAAGGTGTAGCGCTTTGGAAAAATAGGCGAGATAACACAACTGTGCCAAGTGAAGTGAACAAATTGGATGAGAAAAAGTTGCCCTAGTGTTAACAGTGCAGATGACGAAATTCAAGATTGCCGCTGGTAAGAGGAAAAACAAAACAGAGCTAGAGTTTGGGGGAGTCAATGAAGAAGGCATTGATATAAGCAGTCTACTCAACAAATTGGCAAAATTAGATATTATTGTGAACTATCATGTAGAAATAATCAGTAAATTGAGAGAAAGTAATGACCACTTGAGTAGCAAGGTACTGTATTAGGTCTTGAGGGGTCAGTGAAAGACTTATGCAAGGAAAAGAATCAATTGGAAACAAATTGCAAAGCCATGGAAGAACAAAATTAACTCTTAAAAATATCTTTGGAAGAAGTTAAAACAAATTTAAACATAAATGACTAAAAGGCTAGGTAAGGAAGACAATAGGAAAAACAGATTTTTGTTAGTACAGATGGACAGGGACAAGTGACACAGGGAATAGAACAGTTCAAGAAGGATATGCACAACTGGCCAAGGAGAAGGAAAAATAGAAGAAGCAGTAAAGGAAGCCAAACTGCAGCAACCAGGATAAAACAAATATTAGGCTGGAAGTCAGAAAGGAACTGGCATCAAACCCGAAACTGGTGCAAAACAGTCGATCGAAGTCAATAATAATTCTTGGTTGCAAAGAAAAGGAGATTACATTTAGGTCAGAAAGAGTTGTAGAAGAAGCAAAAGTAGTAGATAAAATTGTTGGGCTAGTGGAAGATCTTACTACCATAGAGAATGTTTGCGACTACCGGAGAATTGGTAGGTATGTAAAAGGGAACGATCAACTTTTGAGAATCACCCTAAACAGTGGCAAACAGATGGAAGAAATACTAAGGAATGTTAGGAAATTACAAAGTGATGAGGGAGGGAAATTATGGTCATTAAGACGAGATCTTTCAAGAGAAAACAGAGTGAAGCTGAAACTGAACCTTGTAGAGGCAAAATGTCTAAATGTGAGCAGGAACAAAGAAATAGGCTTTAGGCATTGTATGTACTAGCTCTATCTATAAAGCCAACAAACTTTGTAAAATCTCTTTATGTATGTACCTTTACCTAAATAAAAATTATTATTATTATTATTATTAAATAAAAAATTCTACAAAGTGATAGGGGTAGGCAGTCCAATAAAATGGTACAAAAAGGCAAACCATCAAAATTGCTAGAGAATGGGGTAGTGAAGAGTAGGTACAGAGGGAACATGTTCCTGAAAATTGTATACACCAATATAGATGGCGTAAGATCAAAGATACTGGAGTTAAGTGGTGTAATACAGCTGCAAATGCCAGACATTGTTGCACTCACAGAGACGAAACTTGATGGATATTTTAAATGAGGTCATAGTGTATTCCCAAGGGACAGAAAAATTAAGAAAGGTGGTGGCATTACTGTACTGTGCTGGTGAAAGAACACCTAAAGGTAAACAAAATAATGATTGCAAGTCCACAAGAAGTTGACATAATAGCACTAGAGATCTGCAATCAGGATGATAAACTAATGATCATAAATGCATATAGTCCACCCCCCATGCAACACATGGACAAAGGAGCAGCTGGATAATAAATGTGAGAGGGTCTTATAACAATAATGAGAGATTATAGCGAGAGCGGATAAAGATAGATCACGACTGTTGGTAGTCTGCGACTTCAACTTGAAATCCATAGACTGGGAGGCATATGAAGCTAGAACAGAGAACTTTTGGACCTGTAGATACATAAATGTTTCCAGGATGAAATTTATGAATTAACATGTTAAAAAGCTATGAGGATGAGGGAAGGGGATGTTCCCTCCATGCTGGATTTGATATTTACCAGGAAAGAGGAAGAGATATTTGAAACTCAGTACTGTATCTTCCTTCCTTGGGTAAAAGTGACCATGTCTTTTGGGGAATAAAGTAAGCAATGCCTTATAATCTGGAAAAAAAATTAAGGAGGTCAAAGCAGCTGAAAAACCTAATTTCAGGAGGACAATATGGGGAATTTGGAAATTTCTTTAAGGAATTTGACTGGAAAGACTTGCTGTTAAGAAATGAAGTAAATGAGATGTATGTCAAGTTTTGTGAAATATATGATAAAGAAACAAAAAAATTTATACCAAAGCAGAGATGCAGAACTAGGAAATAGGATTGGTTTAGCAGAAATTGCGAGAGGGCCAGAGACCAAAAGACACAAAAATGGAATCAATATAGGCAGAGGACAAACCCCCAAGCATACCAGCGCTACAAAGATGCGAGAAACAACTACACGTCGATTGTGATTGTGGATATTCCAGATCGAAAATCGACTTGAGAATGGTTCAGGACGGACTGAAACTTGACCGTCCCTTCACTTTCTAGTGTGTGGTTTGGTGTACAGTAGTCTACATTCTACAAGAATATGTTCAAGAAAGATATTAGTAGACATTACACATTAATGCAGTGAGATGCTCTTTAAAATGTGTTTATGTGCAAGACAATGACCTATATTGGTGCTTTTGAGAATCTGTGTGGTAAATGTGAGGCTGAGAAGACAGTGGCCATGAAAGGACAAGAAGTTTGTGTTTTTAGCTTATTATAAACTGATCATATCTTGACTTTGCTGTTTACACAAACTTACTACCAGGTAGTGATAGTAAGATGGGGTGTGAAAAGTTCACAACCACATGGTTACTCTAGTTTCTTAGCATTTTGGATTGCCTGGTCTGTCACACATTTGTAGACATCCCTTATAAACGGACTTGAATGTCACAAACAACCTGAAAAGCCATATTTTTGCATATGGACATAAGCCATAAGGACACAAATTCTAAGAGTTTTATCTATGTATAGCGTATTTGTGCCGAATGTAACAGCACAACCGACTACTCCTTTGTGTTTGACACATCTGTATGTGTTCACAGTGGGTATGCCAGAATTAAGTAGAGTGAATGAGTGAATACAGAAATATTACATAATACAAACAATAATTCCTCTTGTCAGGAACAGGAAGCCTGTATTTAAGCTTAGCTAGGTCCTTCCTTGGTCAACTACTGACCTTCCCCTGGATGCAATCTACAACAATTGCCTAAATTCCAAGTACCTATTGAAGAGCCAGGTGAACAGAAACTTTAGGCAAAAGAAAATGTCTAACCATTTCTGTCTCACCCAGAGATTAAACTGGGCTCCTCAGTTGTGAGCCAAGGATGTAGACCACTATGCTACAGGACCAAACAAAGCAGAATTGAATTTACAAACGGCAAGGCTGATAATAAAGTTGCTACTGTATTAAAATAAAGCATGCAGTGAACTACACCACACAAGAAATGGAAAGTTAGTTACCAATGATTATAAACAACTTGGCAGAACCAAATGGGGGGCCATATGGTAGGAGATAAGAGATGGAGACTGGGGGTGGGGGGATAGAATTGAACACTCTTCAGTGGCACAGTGGTAATACACTCACCCCACCCTTTGTGACATATTTGGCCTAGGTTTGAATCCTGACTGGGAAAGACTGACTAGGCACTAATCCTTAACTGTATAACTCTGTTCACCAGGCAGTGACTGGGTACCTGGTTGTTAAACAAATGGTGGGTCATATTCCTAAGAAACTAGTGGGTAAACTTACCACGAACTATGGGATAGTTAAGCTCTTGGCCTGTTAACAGGAATCATCAGTTGCCTGTTCCTGTACCCACCTGTGTAACAAAAAAAAAAAAATTCTTGATAAAGTACAGACAAGTGGGGTAACTCAAGAAGCAGAAAACCTATCCTACATATGCAGAATAGGTAGGGGTCGACTTGGGCAACAGAGAGTGGTGAAGGTTATCTTCCAAAGAAGCCATTCATTGAAGTACTGTACTGTACATATATACTGGAACAGAAGAGGAAGCTGAGGAAGGGAGATACAGCCAGGAGCACATTGACTAGAATGCTAAGATCAACAAGGAGGAAAAGTCAAATGGAACTGTCAGGGGGACAGGAAACATAGTGAAGGGGGAAAACAAGATGCATAGTCAAGGCAGTAAGAGGAGGTTTATGTACAGCATAATAGTGGGGAAAT